CCCCAAAACCCCAAAACCCCAAAACCCCAAAACCCCAAAACCCCTTAAAATTTCAATCAAATTGAACTCATTCCAATCATTATGTCGGATAACTTGCTCATAGGTTAGGATTATTGTGCAGAATTATTCATCGAATGGGTTCGCCATGTCATACTCATCCTCTATGTCAACTCCTTTGCCATCATCAGCCTCCTTTTTGGGTGCTGCAATATCTTTACTTGGCTTTGGCTGTTTCAAATCTGGCTTTGCCAGAGATGGATGATCAATACCTTCTAATTCCCCACTTTTCTCCAAGCTCTGGTCATGATGATCTTGGTTAGGATGGCCTTCTTCGCTATAACTTTCATCATTCTTTTCTTCCTCTATGTAAGGGTCTATTTTAAGCTCTTTGGTCTTCTTTGGAGATTCTGATTTTTCATCTTGGCTCTGATTTTTGGCTGGAGCATCTTTTGGCTCAGCTTCATCGTCATAGATATCTAGGTCTAAGCCATTGAAGTGTTCAAAAAGAGCGTTCCAGTTGCCAATCCCTTTTGAATATATCTTCTTCTGATCGCAAGCATAATCGATGAGATGAACTCATAAGTCAGTGTAGTTGTTATCCATTATATCTGTTGTTTGCTCTTTTACTTGGTTACTGAAGTAGTGAAGCAAGTTTCTATTTAATATTAGCTCGCTCAATTACGACCAAAAATAGGTTATCTCCAAGCACGATTTTTCAAAAATGTTTTAATTGATTTTAAAAGAAGACACTTACCTTTTCTCGTCAACAGCCTTAGTCTCTTTTGAGAGCATGTGCTTCTTTGCCATCTCCTCATTAGTCTTGAGCTGAGCAAGTTTTGCAATTCCTTCACTATCAAGTTGCCACTTTTCAAAATCTTGGGATTTAAAAAGCCTTTCTTTCTTCTCATTAAGTCTGATCTCGGCTCTAGCATAGTCTTCTTTATAATTCAGTCTTTTCTTCAGAAGATCTCTCATTGGGCCAGCTTCATGACAGTGGTAGGTAAAGAATTTGGAAAATTGGGTCCGCATTAAAATACTTTGCTCTGTGTAGGTGTCTCCCCAGCACGTCATGACATCACTCATGAACTTGTGAATCTGATACATATTCTTTATCTCCATGTTGTTATACATTATTCCTAGTCCCTCATAATACTTGCTCAGATCATAGACGATGTCAGCCAATTCAGCTGTCTTTTCAGAGAAGGCTAAGCTAGCCTCCTGAATGTTCTTGTTAATTGCAGTGTAATTGTTGATGAACTCAGGCATTTTGCTGGAGAACTTCCACACATCCTTTTGAGGTGTGGCATCTACCTCTCCAGTTGCTGTAAACTGCTGTGATAAAAGTGTCGGTTCTTTCTCCTTTTCTCGTAACTTCTTCTGGGCCTTGAACTCTTTGTCATCTCTGATAGTGAGGAACTCTTGAAGAAACATTCAGCCTCTGAGGTTTCTAAATATGAGATAAGCATGAAAATGTAACTAACTATTACCTGTTTCTGATAACATTCGTCAGGAATTTAGTAAAATATTTTTCCTTCTTCAGAATCTCATCTTCCTTCTTCTTCGTGGATGGGATGATCAGAGGTGGGATAACTTGTGAAGGGTACTTCTTGACAAGGTATTTACGTAATGCCTGGAAATCTTCCTCCCTTCTCCTGACAAAATATTCTAAGGGTTCTAAAGTCACTTTGTATGAGATAAATGAAAATTGGAGGAACCCTCCTTTCTTGATAAGTCCGTCATACACTCATACTTTGAGTTCACTCTTTTTGAAATATGAGAGTTCGCTAATCTCCTTCTTTGTTTGCTTAATGACTGGCTCTACTTCAGGCATTTCAGGTGAGCTTGGCTCTTCAGGCATATAATCTTGGTCTTCCTGGATTTCGAGTGGCTCAAGCTCTTGACTATGTTCAAGCTCTTGACTATTCTCAAGAGGTTTATGTATGCCTTTAAAATCCTGTACAATATCCATCAACTCTTCAAGCTTCCAGTTGTCAATATTAGTGCCATCTTCCTTACATTCATACATATACGAGGCAAAATCAATCCGGTCATACCGTTTATCAAGGATTTCCTTCTGAATGAACTCTTGCTTCTTCTTCCTTTGTTCTTCATGATCATCATGCTGATCGTGAGGTTCTGGGTTGGAGTTGTCCATATTCTAACAATGTAAAATAATTACAATGAGATCTGATTCATACGGGGTTTTGGGGTTTTGGGGTTTTGGGGTTTTGGGGTTTTGGGG